CCGAACACGCAACCTTCCATCAGATAATATTCTTGATTCATCAACAAATAGCAATAAATTAATTTATGATTCTATCATACCTCCGTAACAGACAATTCAGGATTACAAAGAATGCATTACAAGACAAGGGATAATCCAAAAGCTACAAATCAGTAGAGTCAGCCCTGTACTCCACCTATGGGAGTCAAGCCGCGGAATCATGTCATAAGTTAGGGGATGGTCCGGATGGGATTGGGTAAAAACGGGAATTTGTGGGAGCGTTGGAATGGAAGGACTACAATAACTCAGGCATGGTGTTGTTTTTGCTCTTCCGCACCTCGCTGTCCCATCGCGATCTCTGTTCAATAAAATACTCTCCGTGTTTGTTAGCCAGCGGCACAACTCTCCAATAAGGGGTAGGCTCTCAAAACAAGGATATTGCAGAGAAAGCAATGGACATAAATAATAATAAACAAAGGTAGAGCAGTTACTTATTCGGTTATGTCCTGTTCAAAATTAGGGTACTATTTATTCATTCTACAGCAATTTATATTTTTCTGAAAGTAGTCCAAAAATAAAACAACTGAATTACGTAACATAACAAAAGATAAAAAAAAAATTAATGCAGTAAATTTACAACGTTAAATACAAGGTAACCACTTTTTGATTTTTAAAATATAAAAATTGTAGGTGTAGTTAAACATTTAAAATATGGGAGAAGCTACATATTTCTTAATAAAAATATAGAAAAAAAAAACACTTAAAATCACTAAAAAAAATAATGAGGGAGTCGAATATCGCTCCCTCTCCCTCAAAATATTTCAAAGTGAAATAATTTATAAAAAAATAACAATTAATCTAGAATAATGAATAAAATATATAAACTAAAATAATTTAAGAAATAGGAAAAGTCGAATCGGCCTATATTCCTATTATTGAAATTTTAGTTGATATTCAAAGATGATTATATTTAGAGCAACATATCCTAGGATTTTATGATCTATTTTTGTGCACCTTTAATATTTTATATGAAGATTTGAACAGCATCAGCGAGCGTTCATCTCACTGCCTCAAACCTTAAAAATAAAAAATAAACATATGTAACATATTCAATTACTTTGTTGTACTTTAAATACTCCCATACATCCATCTATATATTATCCCCACATATATTATTACAGTAAGGCTCGAAATCGGTTTTGTACCAAATATAAGCTCATTTCATTCTCAAATACCATGAATGGGATACCGTTGGATTCAGAATTTCACGGGAGGTTAGCGAATCGTATTCTCTACTTTTGTTTTTCTTTCTAAAATAATTAAAGTCGATACAAACATTTTTCTATGCTTCAATACTGGAACAGTGGTAGGTCTGTAGATTGATACGGAACAATTTGGATCATGAAAATTTTGATGAATACAGCAAAACCCTCATAGTTCCTCCGGAACTATCGGATCCTGCATTTTTAGGCCCAAAAACATACTATTTTCGAGATATCGCAAGGCATAGGGTTCCCATCCACAAAACCTTACATTAATTGCAGTACTGTCATTGAATACATGTATCATTTCGTCGACTTGAGGTCCTCATGATCGAGAGAGGAGGAGTTTATATTATTTATCGATGGTGTTTTTGATCGGCAAGCCATATCGTCGTTAAGTTTTCACTAAATCACAAGAATGAGCCAACAATTTCGAAGGCTTCCTTCTCCTTTAGGATGGCAAAATAGTTCAATCACCCCGAAAATTCAGGCAAACATGTTATGAAAGAAAACAAACTTTATTTACGAATAACTAAAAAATTACACACTTTTCCCTCGGTCATGCCCATGATTATGTAAAAGATTACTTACTAAATTCCCTACAAAAGGAAAAAAGATCTTCGAAATCGGGCAAAGATACAGCTTATCGAAATGTTGGTTCCAAACAAAAATGAAGATTTAAATTAATTTTTGTATCCTATGTCCATTATATTTATGGATAAAGTAACATTTGATTTCTTTATCTTTAGATATGCTGCATTATTTTCTTATTAATTTGGCATTTAATAACAATATGCTGTGCGAATTTTTCGCACGGGCCTACTAGTCATATACATAATAAGTTTATACATGTGCATATTGAGGGGGAGGAGTTTCCCATCGCCACTAATCAAAATGTAAAGCCTGTGCCTATAAAATAGAGTATCTCTGAATCAGAAAAGAATTTTCGAGCAATTACCGTTAGATCGTTGGTTTTAATTCTCAAGTCTTGGATGGACCATAAACATAAGAATGAACTCAAAGATATTTATTTTTTTACCTATTTTTTAATGTGCCTTTAAGGGCCACTTAAACATCACTTAATGCGGTGTCTCTCCGTTTCTCTTAGAAGTATTTCAATCTAAGTTTACTTTTCAAACATACTTTAATCCGAAGATTAAACTTAATTAGCCTGGACTAAAATATCAGGAAGGCGAAATATACGAAAGTCAAGTCGTCCCTTATCAACAAGCACAACAAACTTGACACATTTAGCTACTGCCTCCTTTTTGAAATATCTCAGCCATTTAAAACTTCCAGCCTTACACCGCTTGTATTTTTTTTTCCTGTATTCCCTAAGGGGTCGTCTATGAAATGACTTCCCGCAAGTCCCCAGATTGTACCACTGATATATTCTGTGAAAAAGAAACTTGAAATAACGAGTATAGTGTTTTTTTAGGTTAACATTTTCCGAGATAAAAAACGTAATAGTTCTTTCCTTAAAGTTTAACTAATATTTCTGATATATATTCCAAATTTAAGTTAATTAATTTTATTTATCATCATTATCCTACGAAATAACACGACAGTGTTTTATTTATTTATTATTAAATTTTATTTACGTTGTTATTGTAAACACAAATCTAAACTAATGGGTCGATCCAAGTATCTAGAACAATTCTTCAATTATGCGTATTATGTTCTACATTGAGAGTATGTACTAAGTCGTGTTAATCATTGATGTCGAAAAAAAAAAAAATGGTAAGATATGAAATGAAAGTAAATATGAAATAATTATTATTATTACTATTATGATAAAGAGTAAATTTATGTATCAGTCTGACATAGTAAAAATACCAGCTAATTTATTGTTAATTGTTATTTCAATTGTGCAATGGACTGAAATTAAACATTGTATAGATGCAAGTAATTTTACATGTTAGGGGAAGTTTGAATATGGAGTAGGTGTTGGAACAGGAGTTGTTTGAAGGAATTTGTGGATGAGGATTGACGCATGGAGTTGGAAGTGAGTTCCATAAGGAAGCAGCACGAATGACGAAGGATTTGCTGAAGGAGGAAGTTTTATGGGAGGGAATATATAAGTCTATAGGTTGAGACCTAGTATTGAGAGAGTGGATAGAGGAGCGCAGAGTAAGGAGTTCCAGGATGTAGGGAGGGTTTTTGGTTCTGAATACTTGGAAAAGGAAAACGCCAAGAGGGAATTGTCGTCGGGAAGTAGGAAAAAGCCACTTCAACTCGGTGTACCATAGTGAAACATGTGAACGCATGGGGATCCCGAAAATGTATCTTATGAAAAAATTCATGAGTCTTTTTAGTCTCATTTCCAGCCTAGCAGATAACCCTCCATACACCAAGGAGCTGTCTGGTTTTTAGAGGAATACAATCACGGAATCTTAGGAGTTGTTTAAGGGCAGTTAGAGGAGATTAATTAAAAAAATTGAAGAAACATTATATAAGCCTTTCATTTGTGACAATATTTAACTGTTATTCTTACGAAACTGGTATTTTTGCATTTTGTTATAATTTTTATTAAACTATGTAAAATAAACTAGCACAATCTGTTTTGTTTAGATGAAAAAAGTAATTTAAAAATCATTAAAAAAAAATGTTTTATTATAATTTCTTCAGAAAAAAATGGGAGATGTCGTTAACTAATAGGAAAATTAGTGAAAAATAATATTTCCGTAAGCAGTAGCTGCTTATTAGAGGTTATTAGATAATAACCTACTACAAATAAATATAATATATATTCATTAATTCATTTATTTCACTGACAACTGAATAATAGCGAAGGACAACTGAACGCCACCTTTCATTACTTTATAATTTTAAAGGAAAATCCCTCGTCAAGTATATAAAAACTATCACGGAATAATATTATTATTTTATTTTTGTAATATTTCATTAAAAATTTCCAATTTATTCGAAATACACACACAAAACACCAAAAAAATAAATCTGAAATTCCACACTAGGTAGAAGTATATATATCATGGAAATGTCAAGAGCGTAGGGTCCGACCATGTTTCAAGATATAGAAGATTGATGCGTGCTCATAGCTGTCCCATTTGGGAGGTTGGTATCAGAGCCAGGAGGAAGCCATTAGAAAGAAATAATGCTCTACTTAAGAGTTCACTCTATTATTTAAACATTATTGGATGGTAATAATTGTAGCTTAAAAAAATATATTACCTAAAAATAAATACTAAAAATGGAGTTCTTTGAAGTTCTGTGTGGTATAGAATACTTGTATCGCCGATATCTTCATATGCATCACATAATTACAAAATTTAAGCTACTGATATGAGAATCAATGTCGTCAACAACTTTGACTTATGAAACTCCATGAATACAATCTGGAAGTTTTAAAATTTTAAAACACAAAACAAATTGTATCAAGTGATTTTTTTTTAAACTGGTTTATTGGATATTTGAATGACAATATGTACATACAAAAGAATAATAATTTTTTTAAAAATTGATTAATTTAAGTTCAAAAATTATGAAAGTAAAATTTAAAAAAACAAATAAAAGTAAAAGAGTAAGAAATAAAAGAAACAACGCAAATCTTGTACACATCTAAAATATTTACTCAGCAAATTATTTACATACATACTAACAGAAATGTTACCGTTGAATGTTTATTTATTTTCAGCCCTGAAGATGACCCACATGTTTGGGTTGAAACATTGGCACAAATAAAAAAAAAATTATAATGATTCAAAAATTATTAATATTCAGTAATTCATTAAATAAAAGTAAAATTTTCTTACTTACTTAATCCAGTCCTCTTTGTTACCGCTGAGTGAGGTTCCTTCTTATAGAGCTTGATCCAAGAATCTCTATCCTGGGCCAGCTGTCTTCTCCTACTCCAGTCCATTCTTCTCCTGTCAAAGGCTTCTTTAATTCCTTCTTCCCATATTTTTCTTGGTCTGTCCTTTGGCCGCATTCCCTCCACTTTGACCTCGTAGGTAGTCCTTGCAACTTTTCAGCCATAAAAAGTAAAATTATAAATAATAAATAAAACAAGATATAAACATAAATAAAATAAAATATAGAATTTTGTAGAAACCTTAATGCTATATGGTTGGGAGACATGACCCCTCAATATGATCCAGGGGACAAAAGATTCCTTTCAGTTTAAATAGATTTTTGGAGGGGAGCAGCTAGGATACCCAGGATCGAAAGGGTAAGAAACGTCACTATATGGAAAAGATTGGAAATAAAATAGACTCAGATGGTATGGCCATTTAAGGCGAATGAGTGAGGATGGGTTACTAATGATAATTATGAATTGGAGGGCAGAGGATAGAAGACATCCAGCTAGGTGGAAGGATAGAGTGGTTGAAAGTATAGCTGATAGAAGACATCCAGCTAGGTGGAAGGATAGAGTGGTTGAAAGTATAGCTGATAGAAGAATATCGGGGGAGGATGCGATAGACCGGCAGAGATGGGAGGCCCTGGTGAGAGAAAAGATTTGTATTGAAGAAATTGCTAAGGAAAACAAAAAATAATAATAAATAAAACCAGAAATAAAAGAATAGATAAAATGAAGAGTAAAAGCGAAAATTCGTCGATTTGTAAGGTTTTTTTTTTATTGACCTCCATAGTTGTATTTATTAATTTGTACAACAGTTTTAGACGGAGTGTTTTTTAAAACAAATTATTGCTCATTTTTTTAAAAAAGACTGCGTCCTGAATATTTATCACCCATAATAGTTTTAGACGGTATGTTCAAACGTATAAAAAAAAAATTGGAATATTATACTTCATTATCCAAATCTCAAATCAACATTCATTCCCCCAAAAAGTTGGAACTGAAGAATTTATCACAATAAGTCTTGTAAAACTGTTTGCCCATTAGAATGAAAATTAATTGACTTTAAGCCCCCATAAATAAGAGGAGATAGGAAAACCTTTAAAAAGAGCCCCCAAGATGGGAGAATGGGTTTCTGAATCCATAGTACTACCTCTAGCTCCAGAATTTCAAGAGGCCCGATAATAGTATGATTGTATCATGGAAGTTTCATGAAAAACATAACGTGACATTAATAATATCTTGCAAAACATAATATGATCATGACTATTATGATATATTTACCCAAAGACACATTATACATGTATTTTTTTTCTGTTCTTCTCTACCTCACCTTTTAGGCTAGACGGGATTTTCACTGACCGACGGGGGGGGGATGGAAATTTAAAATCCCTTCTGGCACCGGGACGCGAACTCGTACTTCTTTTCAATCTCAAAACTTGGTTATCTGGTTGCTGGGCAACTCGCGGTGCTGTGCACAAACTTAAGCCCATTCGGCCACCCCGCCCCCACACTGTATATGTACATATATTTTAAATATACACCACATGGGATGAGTTCCGGACTAATAAAACACATAAATTGTAGGGATTTTGAGAACATGCCTTTCGAAGAAAATGTAAACTTTTTTTTTAAAACTTAATTCATTTGAAGTCTATTACTGTGATGATGGTATTGTTTTAGAATGCTGGCATAATATGTGCTATTTTTGGTTTACATTTTCATTCATTCCTAATGATGCCAGAATTTGCTATTCGTTTTCAAGTCAGTTATTTTCTACTATATGAGGTAATGTTACGACAAAAAATCTAATTCATAGACATAGATCCAAGTATTACAATACAATAAAATTCTGAAGTTACAAAATTATTGACAAATATCAGCACAAGACGGAATATTTTTGTATCAACTCACTAATATTGACTGACCCTAAAAGTTTCTGACAATAGATTCAGGGGCCCACTTAGAAAGCAGTTGGAGACCCCACTGAACCGCAGACAGTAGGCGTAGAAACCGTATCAGCCCTCGGGAAGAGCGTGTGTGGAATATATGAATACAAGTTAGTACCTGCTTGGGTCCAGTTTATGCAGGAGATTCTACAACTTATCCGCAGTCTTTGTATATTTTCGAGACAAGTCTGGCAGAGTTAATTTCTTATGATATTTGGTTTAACAATATATTGAAATAAAATAACAAATGAAAGATGGGTGTCAGTAATAAAAAAATAATTAAATAAATACAACTGAGCTTTAATACTGTATTGTCCACCATGTAAGGAACCACATTTATAAATTAACTAATTCAGAAAATCGTAATTCCTGAGAGCCGAAAAAAGGATTTATATTCAGAAGTAATAAATAAAATACTAAATATTAATGCTTATGTTATTATTAACATTTAACTATTAAAAACTCTCCGAGGCGTCTGAATAGAAGATGGCCTCGTGATCTACTTATGTAAACATATTATTAGAGTGCTACCAATGGGTAGTTTCTCAACAAGCGTTTTCATGTGATTGTATTATTATTGTGTGCACATTTACTAGTTGTATTTTTTTTTTTATAATACAGTTGTAAGTATCAATGAATAAAAAAAAAAAAAAAATGAAACTATTAAAATTGTTAAACACTCCATTAAACGTAGTTTATAGACAATGACCCTTCATAACACTTCACAACTTTATTGAACGACCAAAGGCTTTAAATTCTTGGAAAACCTTATATATAAGAAGGTACAGAATGATAATCGATAATAGGTTCTTTAAATATTTCCGCTTTATTATTATTTTTATTTTTCATAAAGCGTTTCATGTGATTATATTCCTCTGTACACATTTACTTGATGTATTTATACTTATATTGTTGTAAATATCATAATAAAAATTTCCAAAAAAAAAAAAATTCATAGTTTCAGTTTTATATTTTATTTTTTTCATTTTTGTTCAATATTATTTAATCTATATATTTACTAATAACAGTTCGTATGAGCGCCCTTTAAAATCTTTATCCGTAGTGTTAATTTTATTAATACCTATTACTTTTCAACCAAAAATAATCTGTTAAATACCCATTCAGCTTTTAAAAGTAATATATTAAATATAAACATAATCATACTACGGTAAACATTAGCTTTCCTTAATTTAATTCAATTATCTTGACATAAAAAAAAAAAAAATAAAGTAAAAATAAAAACAAGAAATTTTCGAGGTGAGCTGGGTAATTTAATAATAATTTAAACTCTAGACTCATATCCACAATTTAAATTACACCCATTTATTACTTAACACCTAGACAATTTTAATAGTTACAATTCCTTTAAATATTGTTAGTCAGGTATTGTAAATATGTAGGAATGTTTTTTTATGAGTTTTATATTTGTATTTAATGTTGTTTTAAGTTTCATTTTTATTATTTTGTTTTGTTTTTTGGGGTTATTTTATTTTCAGTATTGAGTATATGGCATGAGTGAGTCTCACATAGCTCTTATACATAACGCCCTTAAGTGTGGCAAAATATTTCTTAATAAAAACATATTTAAAAAAATTAGTTAATCAATTAGCACCTTCCTTACTCCAGTTTAAACCATGTAAAAATTAATCCTTTTTTTTTTAATTGAATGCCTTTTATAAATTAAATAAGGTTTTAAACTTTCAAATCAAGGTAATGTAAGAAAATGATATGTTATTGATAGCAGAACAGAAAAAATACATGATATTAGATGAGGTAAAAGAATAGAACATAAATGGCCGGTCTAACAGATTTTACAAGTTAAAATTTAGTAGTTTCGTTTAAAAAAAAAATTATTATTTGTATTTATCATTTAATACAGTTGTAAATTTTAATAATAAAAAAAAAATTTCAATATATTCTATAATTCATTATTTATTAATTATATTTGTTTCGTTTCTATTAATGTTTCAGGTTCACTTGTAACTTTGGTGCACATTTTTCAACTGCTTCGGTATTTTGAAACAAAAATCAATGAATAATCATACATTTCTTAGATACATATTCAGAATATTTAAATTGTCTTTAATCCATCTCAAAGATAAATAATTTAATAGAATTAATTAATACACATTTAAGTTGATAAAATTGGTCTAAAACTTAGAAATACTGAAATTCAGCGAGGAAACTAAACATTAACTTGATTGCTATTGTGAGTTATATTGTTGACTTGATCAAGGGGGGAGAAAGTTATTTACTTCACCACATTCATGGGCGTTTGATATGAAACATTGATAAAATACCTTTGAATATTTTCATTTGATATAATTTAATGTAATGTAGTAATTTATAATGCGATTTTCCTAATACTTTTTTTTAAAAAAAGTATGAATTTCTGATACAGTAATGTTTTTAAAGTAAAATAAAAAATGATTAGATATTGATAAAAATTCGTATTTTTAAAGTTTAAAAACTTTTGAGAATTTTAAGTTTGAAGAAAGTAAACGCATATTTTAAAACCATAAATATTAATTTATATTTATTTCTTTATTATTTGTATATATTGTATGCATGAGAACTTTTAGCCCTTATACTTATAGCCCTCCAGAAGTGGCTGATTGTATTATTATTTAATAAATAGATTTAAGATGCAATAAATATTAATAATTAAATAAATCTGTTCAGGGACTACTATGTGATAGTCCTCACTTTTTTTTTACCTCATTCGGTCTTTTTATGAAAGCAGAGTGAAGGTAAATTAAAACGTTTGCCAATTGAGGTCAGTATAGCTTCCTCGCCGTTTTGATTGGCTAAAAAATATTCTATAAAACAAGGTATAAAAATTATCGTATGAGAATAAAATCTCTGAAAGAAGCTTTTTTCGGAATTCAGTAATCCCTCAACATGCACATGTAATATGTACTTGGTTATCTGTTTACTTACCCCTAACTTCCCTCAAAATTTGAGCCAAATCGGACGTTTAGATATATAGACATTTCAAGGAAAACTCGTTTGTGCATACCTTATTTAAGAGAAAGTAGTGGGACAGAAATAAATAAGATTGACACTTTATATTTTTTTCAACAAAAAATCTATTATACAGTAGGCGTTGATAACCTGAGAAGTTTACGCCTGTAAAGAACAACAAACAAAGTCTATTACAAGTAGTATTTCTTGTAATACTTCTTTTACATAAAAACAAATAGAAATACTTAAGTTAATCCATTTTATAACCAATTATATATTGATTTTGATACCTATTATTCCAAAAAAAATTCTTTCTTTTTTGTATACTTATGTTAAAAAAACATCAAAATCCCATTATACAAGCGCTCGATTAAAATAATTTAATTTCATATGAAAATATATTTATCATATACTAAACTTAAGCAACATTGTAAATCAACAGCAACACTTACTACAAGATTTTTTTAATACACTTATTCCTAGCTTAAACAAATTGATTGACAAAAGTAGAATCTATATAAAAGAAGGTAGTGTTTTTCCGAGACCTTCTGGAGATGTCCGAGGATGTAAACAGATATTTCGGTAAGAGCCCGAGTACGTGAACGGACTATGTGAGGAAACCAATCCCATCTTCTTGGCCAAAGAGATACTCCAAGCGGTAGCAGCCATATTTCTGGTGCCAATAAGGATTTACTAAAAGGAAACAGGCATGAATAAGAATAACAAGATGTAACGAAAAACTATTCCAAATATAACTACAAATTTGAAGAAAATATTAAAATAAAAATGACGAAAATTGTCTGTTTGTCAATATTTATAATAACAAAAAATCAAAATTTATTTGTACAGAAATTAAAAAAAATGTATCGGTCGAATTGAATTATATTTAAAATCATAAATATAATAAGCATTAATTGCCTATAGTCTAGGATGCACATATGAATAGAAAGGATGCACTGATCCGCAATGATTAAGAAAAATTAACGAGAAATATATGGAATATTCTAGAAAATAATTGTAATTTTTTTTTTCAAATCTATCTAACTAATAAAATTGCCGTAAATCTTTTTATCTAACTAAGGATAAATGGTGCGTCTCTAACATTACTTTCACCAACAGGGGGAGAGGAATTTCGTGCTTTATTGATAGAAATTATATCTTAAAGTATTATTGTTCGTTCAATTACATTTAATAGGACTTAAGAATCACTTAAACACCGTTTCATATGGGCAGTTCATATATTTCTTTTTTTTTTTCAAAGTAATTATCGTTATATTGAATATTTAATAGCTGACCTTAATAGCTGACCTTTCCTAGTATTATAAAGGAAGGAGATGGTCCGAGATGGCGGTCATGAATAGGCTAAATAGTGACAAAACTATTTTATTAAAAACCAACGTTTTACCTGACTTTGCAGGTCTTCTTCAGGGCTAGAACGGACAAGATACAAAAAATTTAGAGAATTGTGGAAATTACATAATATTTAGAAAAAAAAAAACGGATATTCTGTCATATTACATCCTTTTTTCTTCTTTTTCAATCTCTCCCGTAGATGTGTAGAAGTATATTCACATTTGCATATATTATATATTACACTATAACAATTGTTACCATCTATTTACTTCAGTTTAGGATCTTATTACTTAGCTTACTCTGTTTATATTTTAATGTACTTACTGTTTATAATTTTAATAAGCTTATTCACATTGTTTATTAATTTTTTTTTCGAAATATTATGTAACTTTCACAAGTCTCTATATTTTTTGTATCTTGTCCGCTCTAGAACTGAAGAAGACCTGCAAAGTCGGATCGAATCGTTGCCTTTTAATAAAATAGTTTTTCCACTATTTATGCCTGCCACCCCGGATGGATATCAAAAGAAGCTGGATTTAGGATCTTATAGCTTAACTATAAATACTAAATTCAAGACAGGAAGAGATGCCGCTGAGAACTCCTCCCCCTCATGCCTATTGACTCACTATTCTACTTCACGATTGCATACTTGCTGGTTGTATTTCTGACAGATATGAGTGGAAGAATAAATTTAAAAGTTATATATCTGCAATACTAACCAAAAATGTTATTTAACAAGTTCTACTGTTTTGATTGAAAAAGAAAAATCCCTTTTCCGAACTGGATTATAGAAGCGCCATGAAGGTGACCCGGATGGGTATTGTTCCTCCAGAATGACCCGAAGAAGGGGATAAAGAGTTAAAAAAGAAAACCATTTAAGGAGCGGGAGTTGACAAAGGCCCCTAACAAAGACAGGGTTGATGAGTCGCCAGATCTGATAAGTGCTCTCGAAGACTTCCGGACTCAACTCGAGGGCTCTCGGTCCACTTTCAGCCACAGCCACCTTAAACATAACTCTTTGATCTTCCTCTATATCTTGCATTAAGGGATACTTATAATGATATAGAGGGGAAAATAAAAGAGGAAATCTACTTACCAAGAGGATATATTATTAACGACTTCTCGGAGAAGTTTTAGAAACAAGGTTAGGTAGGGTGCAGATTCTGTATCATTCGGTCTCAATCGATGTGGGGACGGGGAAACTTCTCCGTCGCGGACAATTTTATGAAACTCATCAAATTTTTAATAATTAAATATTATTGAATTATTCCACATACCAGATTGATATGAGATTGCCAAGTTTCTCCATAAAGGATAACAAGAAAATAGAGCAGCTTTGAACTTTATCAATAACTATGTGCCCGGCCACGCGTTACTGTGACTCATTCTGGTTGAATAGAAAAATAAATAAAAAATAAAGCAGTTGTTTCTAATATAGATATGTTTCTAGTTCTCTAATATAGGTATGTTTTAGTTAATTTTAACAGCTCATATGTTTCTAATATATTTAATTCCACAATACTTGTTAATAAGAAATATTTTTTGTTGTTCCATCCTTTGGATAGATATAGACATAGTATGGTTTCCAACTCTGGAACACGCAACATATAATTGAAGCGATTCGTCTCTGATTCTCCGAAGAAAAAGTACTAAATGTTTAAAACATCATATCCCTGCACCAAATCATCCGATTTTAGTGATTTTTTTTTTTAATTTACATGGAATTCAGGAAGCTTTCAAATAATAATGGTCATAAAAATTGTGTACTTTTTGAGTTATTCGCAAATATAGTTATGAATCCATGGTAATTTTTTTTTTTTTTTTTACTCTTTTCGGGGAAGCGTGTTACATTCATAACTTCAACCTTCAAGGAGAAGACTCTAGTAATGTTTAATTAAAATCGTTACAGCCATTTATGCGCTGCAGACTGTTGCGAAACAGGTTTTCGGCCGCCTATCCGAAACGAAAGGCCGGACGGTAATTAAATGTTTATATAAACACTCCTGAATACGATAGAAACGTCATGGCAATATTTCAAAGCAATCGGTGAAGAAGTTTCGGAGATTAGCATTTTCGAACAAACGAACATTTACGTTTTTATTAATATAGATAGTATAGTTCAATTTTATCATCGGTACACAGATATCATTATCAATTCAGCCCAAACAACGAGGGTGTTTTAATTTTCACACTAATATATGATTTTAAGAATTTTTGAAGATTTTGTATTCAATTTTAAACAATGTTTAATTAAAATTACAGTCGTTGGAATACAGGATTGAAAACATGGCAATTTTTCAAATTCAGTAGTTAGCATTTGCATCAAAGATATGTATACTGTAAACACCGGTTTGGTGTAAGGGATTATAATTTTAATTTTTCGTTGTCAATTCATCAAAAGAATTGATTGATAAAATGTCTAGTCCATTTAACTTAAATACTCGTAGAAAACTTAGTATTCTCGAATTGTCCACCCAATCAAAAATTCTAACAACACAAGTATTAGACATTTTAAAGATAACGACATAAACCGTGTTACAAGCCCCATTTTATCAAATTATTAACATCCCAGTAATACTTCGTAAATAGCTTTATCTTATCTACAACTTTTTATTTACTAAAACTCTCAGGAACGGTGTGTTTTTTAGCTTAATGAGCCACTAAAATCTTATGAATACTTGAATATTTTTACTTGAATTTTAAGGCCATTACATCACAAAATCGATGAAAAATTAGGCCTACAAAAATATTTAGTCATTTATCATATAAAACCTCGTTCGTTGGAAATGGAGATCACGCCCGCATAGCCCCATATTTTAGTGAGATAAATAATTTTATAAATATAAAACAATATCTTATTGAAACGTGGACTTTAGTGAGTAAAATTTAATGCGATCGTCTCAGGTCTATTAAAAAAAAATCGAACATTAGCTACTAAAATAAATATTTGAAAGTCGATTTAAGACAAATTTTGTAAAATTTAGTGTGTACTTTTTATTTATTATTACGGCACTACAACTTGGTGACCAGTCTTGGCTTCCTCCAGTCATCTCTGTTCTGTGCGGCCATCCTCCAGCTCCTGACTACTAGGACATTCCTTGAATCTCTTGCCGCACCGTCTGACCATCTTTGTTTTGATCTTCTTCTTCTTGTGCAGTAGAGAGGTTCTGTCAGGATCATCCTAGGGATTGCTTCATTCTCCATCCTTGCCACATGACCAGCCCATCACTATCTTCTAAGCTCCATCCTCAGAACGACATCTTGATCATTAACAGTTGAGCAAAATTCAACACACCAAAAGTGTGTACTTAGATATTTTAAAAATCTTAGTATAAAATTACGTATTTTTTCGATTATCAAGAGACGTGAAGAAGCGATGTGTATAGCCACCTTTATAGAGTTGTTTCATTTCATCTGAATGTGAAAGGATAAAAAAAGGCCTGCCATATAAGTCAGTAAAGTTTCCTCTTCATTTTTATTGACTAAATGAGGAAAACCCATTATGTTTGTTTTTCCTTGTTTAGTTCCTTGTTCTACATGTTCCGGAAAACTCCTTCCTCTCTCTGAAATCATAAGCTCCACTGATTTTTACCATTAACTCTTTTTATCCCTTATTTTTCTTTAAGTAATAGAAACTCCTAGTATAAATATATTTCTAAAATTAAATTTTCTTTGAAAGGACGTATTTTAATTGTTTATTTCTTTATAGATGGTGTTGTAGTAAATTATAAGGCAAAATATAAATGTGGTATGACATTGCCTCCATTGTTAAAAAAATGGATGACTTATATCCGATTCCCATACATATTTTTTTATTATTTATTTATTGAATATTACAACATTCTTTCACTTGGTCATTGTTTAAAGTGAGATCACATTCTCACTATATCTATCTATATATATATAAAATAAACAGAAACTTAATAACAACCAAATAAAGTTGAATAAGTATACACAATACATAAAATAAAATATCTTAAAAATATGGAAATTAAAAAAAAAAATACATACATACCTATACACCCTATCCATAACTTTAACTCTTTATTCATTCAGTTATGAAAATTATTGATTATTCTTCAATGATTTTTCTGAAAAAATCATAAAAACAGACCAGCTTCAACTAATATTTAAAAAAAATCAAGAATCAGTTGAAACTGACAGACCACATTTCTTGCTGTCTACCCCATGAATAAACAAGCCCTGTTACTTGGTATAATAAAATTAACTTGGACTTACTAGTTGAAGCATTATTCTAATCCATTTTCATGTTTGTGTTTATGAAAATTTCAATATTAGCATCGTTTTTATAAATGAATGATTTAAGAGTTAAATTTATGGAAATAGGAAATAAGTCATATTTTTTAGCAATGGCTTCATTTCTAACAAAATTTATTATTTATGTTAGATTTTCATCCCACATTTATATTCTGCCTTATAATCTACTACAACACTTCTATTAATAGAAAACATAAAAATAAAATTTTTGTTTTCACAGAAAATTTAAATTTTACATTGAAGTTTGAAAACTATTTCTTATACTATCCTATACAGAGTAATATATCGAAGGAAATAACATACAATATTATGTAAAATTGCATCAATCTCAGATGTCTAGCCAAATTAAGAAAGGTTGTACAGTAATTTTTAATCTTGCCTTTGAGTCTTGTAAGTTCTCGACAGTTCCAATTAAGTAATAAGTTAGCTTATCTCAATAAAATTTCACATTTTTAAGATGGTGAGGCTAAATTGGCTTTTAATACGCGTGGTGCAGCTGGTTAACAGATATTAGAAACGTACACTGAATCGTATAAGAAAGTATGTATTTCTCGGGTGCATAATATTGCATTAAGATTAGGTTCTTTAGAAACTGAAATTTATTTAATATTTACGTAGTCTACAAAAAAAAGGAATCAGTTTTCTTGAAGAAATATACGAGATGCCTTTTTTTTCCTCACATAGACATAAGTTCCTTGAACTACTTAAGTGATTAGGTCATACATTAGATCTAGCTACCACGACCATAGAATCATACATAAATAGAAATTGAAGTAATGAAGTATTTAAAAAAAAATTAAAAAGTTCTATATTTTTCAAATATGGGCAAACTAAAAATCGCGATACAATGCCTCTCAAATTAGTTTTTTCCAAACATTTTCTTAACTCTGTTTGTCAATACAATAATGCGTTAATGAAACATAAGTTAAAAGAATGTGTTAAAATTTTCCAAATCCTTAAAATACTTCGGCACTAAATATCCTTCCATATACTTTTTAGTCGATTCCTAGGACCCTTGTAACTTCAATTATATTTAAGCATAGATAAGATTCCAAATATCCATTTTTGTATTAGCCTCCTTGGGTAGGGAAATCTTAGCTATATAGTTAAATAATTGTATGATTAAAACGGAAATAAAGATTATGATCGTTAGTTAATTATTATTAAGTCGTATAGTTATTTACGTACAACCGGCTTCTGTTATTAATACTAAAAATTGAATATATTTTAATTTAAGTGATATTGAATATTTAATAGTTGGCCGTTGCATTATTAAGGAATGAGATGGTTCTGGGTAGCGGTCATAAATAGACTAAATAGTGGCAAAACTATTTTGTTAAAAGCCAACTCAGTTCTAAGTCAAACTCCTATCTGAACACACCTCCCTGAAGTAGACCTGCAAAGTCGGGTCGAAACGTTGGCTTTTAATAAAATAGTTTTGCCACTATTTAGTCTATTTATGACCGCCACCCCGGACCATCTCCTTCCTGAATATATTTTAGTTTTATGAAGTCCGTTTTGAAACACTAAATATGCTTTACGTAAGTTCTTATGGCTACAAGTAAGTGTGTGTATGTATGTTCTGCCAAATATTCTGTTTTGATCATTTCAAAAAACTACTGTCGTTTTAGTTATTTGTTTAAAGATTGTTTTTTCACCTTAAAAAGTTATTCTCTACTCGAATTTTAGTCCAAACTATAGTGTCCGTCTGAGTAATTCTATTATCAGCAATGG